CTGCCTCTAATCAGCCACCTGTTTACTGGCTAACACTGATTATTTACTCACCATTCTCTATTTCAGTGCTGTTTATGCTGTTATATTCTCATATTGTAGATACTGTATACCAAATCCACCTATCTCAAGTCATTACTCCTGCACAAAATACTTACACTATGCTTCATTGCACTGTGTATATGTGCATGTATATGTACCTGTATCACATCCATCTCCGCCATGTACATACTCCTGCATCCTTTGCACTCTGCTCACTGCACTATTTGTCAATATGTCTATATTGTTTTTGTTCATAGTGTGTATATTTGTGTTGTCTACACTGAAGTCTGTGTTTGATTTTATCTTATTTTTATTCTTGTGATTTTGTATTTTTGTATGAGTAATGTACAATCCAGAGTCAAATTCCTCGTATGTGTACACATACCTGGCAATAAAACTGATTCTGATTCTGATTCTGATTCATACTGCACATTGCCCCCTGAAGTAACAATCACTGAAGCTAACCCTCTTTAGTGGCGTAGTGGTGGAGGTTGAGTGATAATTTATTTTGATTATGTATAGCCATGTAAAGCCATGTAAAATATTACATCTTGAATAATTCCACATTAGGACTTTTGTTAAACCACTCTTTAAACACTTAATGTTGTCACAAATGTGTCCATGAGTTCTGTATCATGCAATAATGAATTAAAAGACACTACCAGAGTATGTCTTGTTTCCTTTAGGGGAAAATACTTTGCAGGTTAATTTATATTTATTTTTGTCTCCAAAAATCTCCAGATCTGAATTAGTAGACCTTCAAGTATGAAGATGATTGAATAATGCAGTTAATTCTGAGTTGCTCTTTGGGGCCAAAACACAACACTGATGCTCTTATTACAGAAACTATAGTCTATAGTCCGATTTTGAGCAGATGCATCATAATCTGTCTTTTTGTCAGGTTTGTATTCATCCATTGGCCTCTTGACAGTCTGGATTTAGGTTCATAAACAAAGCAATAAAGCAATAATTTATTGAAAGAATAAATTAAGCAACCCATTTCAAGTTTGGTGATTGAGTGAAGCTAAGCTGTAGTTGCCTTGGGATGTTTTGGTCAGATCAAAGATGTAACAGCTGAAGAGATTCTTTTGTAGCTGTATATACCTCAATAAAGACCAACAAACACAGTATGTCATCTCGTTTGAGGCGCTGACAAACCTCACAGCTTAAGCTTTGTTCAAACCAGCTGTTTAACTCTCCGCAAAGAATATCCATCTGTCATCCACAGTTTAACTGTAATTTTGCTCCGGGAGTCACTCATAGTCACTCGTAGGTATCCTTTCCATGGTGTTGTTAGACACCTGGTAAAACAGTCTGAGTCTGTTGGCAAAAAGACACTTTTTATGGACCTAATGTTGATAGGCATAATTGCCCTAAAGCAATACTTGCAGCCACTGTAGCCCATTCGCGGCTGCCGGCAAAAGACATCTACTGCACGGATTCCAAAACCTTTTGTACCTACTAGTCATTTTGACACCAAAATATGTGAAAATAGGGCCCAGCAGAATAATACAGAATGTATTCTTTAACGCAAAGTATTGCACAGTAACTGGGCCCCTGCATATGTGCATTAATGTGTGTGCATGTATTTGTGTGTCCTGTAGAGATCCAGTTTCCAGGCCTGGTAAAAGTAGGCCAGCGAGTTATCCCATGAGTCAGCCTTTTCTCTTGAGTAAGGAGACTCCCTGATATGACAACATCATTAACAGCTGACCAACACACCCTATCAGACGGTCACTCATACACACACACGCACACAAACACACATTTTTGTTTTAACTTACACATGCAAGTACTATTACATATACAGTAGTTGAACACACAAACCAATATAGCATAAAACTCCTGTAACACATGCAGCTGACCCGCCGCATGTGCACCCAAACACACCCAAAGTCTGCTCTCAACAGTATTTTGTGATGGATACTGTAACCGTTTGTCTCCCCTGGTGTAATAACAAGATGCTGAGGTCAGTGAATCTCAGTTGAATTCAAATGAGAGCTGACATGAAACTTGCTGAACTCAGTGATACTGAACTGAGCTTAGCTCTTGTTTTGAGTGACTGGATTACTCGCTGATTTGGTTTTTACACAAGCAGTTGCTGGTCAGTGCATGAAAACTACACATTTTCACGTGGCCTTTTATTGTGGTCAGCCTAAGGCACACCTGAGCAAGACCCAATGCTGTCTGATCAGCATCTTCATATGCCACGCCTGTGAGGTGAATGGATTATCTCGGCAAAGTAGAAGTGCTCACTGACACAGATTAAAACAGATTTGTGAACAATATTTGAGTGAAGGGGCCTTTTGTGTACATAGAGAAAGTCTCAGATCTTCAGCTCATGATGAATGGGGGCAAAAACAAAAGTGTTACGTATATAATTTTGTTCAGTGTAGTAACATCTGCTGGACCTGACTGACCAAAACACTGACACATTACTCTTAAAGATGCAATTTAAACTTTAAAGACACTGCGACACTGGATCAATGCAGATACAATGTCCCAGTTTCATAAAAGCAGAATCGAGATAGCACAGAGGCAAGCTCATCAATCATTTATCGTTCTTCAGTATGTATTTAAAATGTATTCAAACACTATTTTGCCCTTGTGTTAATTAAATGGGACTGAGCTGAACAACACTGAGGATAAGTTGCCTCTGTTCTTGCTAAGCTGTTGTTGTAGAACAATTATGGACTGGATGAATTATTCCTCAGCTGGGTCCAGAAAAATCCTAAATGTGTAAGTGCACCGCATTATCCATCCATCTCCCATTAATTTATGTGAGTGCTAATAAGAAATGGTGGATCACATCAGAACATTCTCAATCACAAATCGCTGCTCTATCATGAAGCATTTCAACTCAGCATTATTGCAAAAACAGTTAAAATAGGTCAAATGTGCAATGAAGACACAGTAAATCCTTTCTCAGCATGCAGGCTGGTCAGTCTGCTTGAGGAACAAAAACACATCCCTAATGAAACTGGACTTGAATGAGGTATTTTTTAACGCTAACATGAGCCGCTGATGGGTTTAAACGCTGCTGTAAACACAGCCTGTATTAAGCTGTGACATCACTGCGTGAAGTATATGCAGTGAGATGTGTTTTGAGTATATGTTGCTGAGAGAGACTGTTGATGTTGAGTATTTCTCTTTCATTTTTGAACAGCAGGTGAACTAGTGTAACTGTAAGCTCCATTCAGCCACAGAGAAATGATGGCTGTCTTTGGTAGGCCCACATTTATTAGTCTGTGTACTTATATGTGCACACATGTGGTTCATGTTGCATCTTAAACCTCATAATTTAAGTCACCATCTGTGTTCCCATTAAGTCACATCTATGAAATCTCTATGACAGCAACTGATTGAAGACTTGGTTACAACCTTGAAGTCGAATTGCTACAGTGTACCTCCTCCCACACACTCCAGCTTAATATCTCTTTTTCCATCAGCTCATTGCTGTGCAGGTTGGTCTTTAGTAATATGCATATTAGGAAAGTAATCACCCTGCTGTCTTGATCATTGCAAAGGGAAATGAGTCATAAGGGTGAAACCATACTTGAATGTGTTATTACAGGTAGACAGGCACTAATGCACACAAGAGGAATAACAGATAATAGGTGTAGATAGAGACTATATATTCTTTTAACATCACATTACTTAGAGCTGATGTAGACTTGACCATTCATATATTTTAAACCACAGGATGACGATGTCATGTGCAAAGCGATGCTTTCCCCAAGTGCTCTTCCATGCAGGAATAATTTTCCAATTATTCCCAGTTACATAATCATTATTACTGTGAAATGAAAGACATCAGACCCTTTTCATATTTTCATATCATTAATATTTCCGTTACAGCAGCAAAATTGAAAAAACACATTTCAAAAACACATCCATGATGGGTGAACCTAATGAGGCATCAAGGCAAAATGTCTTTTTCACTCCAAAGTGTATTGTTGTTCTAAAGCAACATTAAAGATATGAAAGTAATGAAGCGATCTAAGGCCTCTCAGTTGGTGGTGGAATATGTTCATGGTATAAATTACATAACTGAACTTACGGGCAATACAATAATTACGTTACTGGTTACAATTTTAGCAGATAATCAGTAGCAGAGTACATTTTGAAATAAATCTTCCACCTGATCGCATGCCGTTCACTGCAAAGTACAATTGAGTACTTTCCCTGGCAAGAAGCAAAAGATTTTCACTAAAATAAACGAAGTTGTACTGCCAGTTTTCTTTTTAAACACAGAAAAACCAGCGCACACTAAACCAGATGACTAGCTGTAGTCTGTCTTTTCATTGTGATACAAATATGAAAGCTGGGTGGACCGTGACATATGTCTTCTTGATATGCCAGATTTAGCTGGCATGACTAATCTGCAATGACACTATTGATGTGAATATGTAAAATGAGAGCAGATGCAGCAGCCATGTCTGTTTTATATTACAAAGTGGGCAGTTCAGTTTCAAGGTAGAGTGGGAGTGATGTATTATTAATGTCTAATAATGAAATGTGTGGCTATTCCTTTTCATGTTTTATTTTTGCTTTTCCAATTTTCCAATATATTATAACATTATTCACCTGATCCTAACAATAACAGGGCTGATGCACTATATGTTGATTGTAGATCATTAGTGTCAATGAAAATCTTTGATGACTTGTGCTCATCAACATTGATTGTAGCTGACTTACTTTATCAGATAAGTATGACACAGAAGGCATCATTTATGTGCACATGCAGTTATTTCTATAATGTATATATATTTTTTATTTCTAGTTTTTATAATGTTAATATTGTGATGACTGGTGATGCATAGTCAATATATGCAATACTTGTTGTTACCATAATCGTGGCTATTGCTACAAATTTGCAGCCAATCTAATCCAGACATTTTACCCATTCTGCAATCTCTTTGTGTCAAAGACTGGAGTGAAAGTAAAATAGAGGCAAAATAAAATGTATATGTGATGCACTTTATTAGGTATGCTTGTAAATTTGCAATTGCACAAAAAAGAGGGATTAGCAATAATGTATTGCTTAAAAGAAATCACAAACATGAAACCATAAAATTGCTGTGCTACAATGGATGGAAATGCTTCAACACTATAAAAGAGATAATTCAAAACATAAAACGTCTTCACAGAAAACAACTGGCTTCAACAAAAGTTGAGCACATAACAGAACTCTATTGCTCTTCTGAACTATATTTCCCACTAGATACTCAAACCAAACTAAACTGCCTTACTGAGTGATGCATGGCAATGATTTTAATTAGGACTGCCTTTGATCTGTGAACATCTTCACATCAATAAGATTCAGCCCTGCAATGCTTGAAGTTGTTGTTTGTGTGTTTTTGTTTTCATTAATTCAGCAACTCTCATTTTCTACAAGGTTTGGCTCATGACATCAACAGGTTTAGACAGATTATATTCATTTTGAAAATGCTAAATTAGCCAAGTGACTGGCCTTAGTTAGCCTCAAGGGCTGAGGATAGTCTTGGCCTGTGTCCTAGTTGCATGTTTGCACTCTAATTCTAACTGAATGTGCAGTGCTGTATGTTCACACAACATAACAAACATGCAGGCAAAAATTTCTTGAGTTTGCTGGTGATTGACACCATTGCTCACTGTGTGATGCAAAACAGAAATGTAGATGCGGTTCACAGCTGGGAAACCAGTGAAAACAGTCCAAAAATTATGGTTTACAGTTTGCATGGTGTGACAGCACTGCTGACTGCTTAGGAAACAAAAACAGTCCTTGATGCAGTATTTTTTTTTTGACATCTGTTGTTGCACACTTTGTATCATTTACTTTCTTTCACACTAGTGGATAAAATGGTGCACCATCGCAGTGCTCTGCTCATACATAAAATGTATAATTTAAAGTATTAGTATTTATTGGATTCAGAATACATGCTGTCAACAGCACTTGGCAGGTGTGAGCCCAGGGTGGTGCATGGAGTTGCTCTGCGGGCTGCTGTTAGTTTTATTGCATTTCCCACGGAGAGCAATATGATGTCATCAACATGTCTCTCATCTACAGTTAAGACCCAATTTCCTGGTTTGACAGCTGAGCTGGGGATAAAGAGTTTCTGTTCTCATAATATACTCAAGGAAAAGTTTCCCTCATCTCTTTTGCACTCCCACCAGGTGTTTTCTTTTCTCACTCTGACTCTGAGCACACCCTCTGTGCCTGTACCATATTTCTGAAAAAAATTGTGCTTCAGTTGTTGACATTTCATGGAGTAAACACTTTCACTACTTTTCAAACTTTATTTATAAAATGGAGCAGTTAAAAATATAGTAAGCATTCATCGTGACTAGTGAGACATCAAACATATATAATAATATTTAATAATTTCTCCCTTTATGACAAAACACTGGTGTCTTACAACAGAGTCTTTACACAACAAATAATTTAAGGACAAAATGAAAACATCGAAGAAGACAGGACACATGATAACTATGAGCTGCTGGCTTTGTGCACGAGCTTAGGGTAGGCTCTTGAGCCACACGAACATTTATACAATATTAATATCAAAATAATCGGTTATTGTGTTTATATGAATGCTTTGTGCCATATCTCATTCTGCCCATGTAATGCTGTGAGATTGTGAGATACAGTCGATGGTGGCAGAACAAAATTTGACAAGGTTTGTTTTGGTGGATCATAATGCTGAAGCCCTCTGTCATCATCTACATCGTGTGATGCTGTCTTTTGTCTGTCTAAAATATTCGGTGATCCAGTCAGTAAAATATGGTTAAACTGTAGTGTTAGTGGATAAATGCATAAAGTAATGAACTAAAGCAATCAAGACATGTAAAGAGTGCTTGTCTTTCAGTATTACCAAAATGTGGGGTAGGGGATTGCAGTTCTTCAGTTTAAAATTATATTATGTGTGAAATCATGTTTTATACTTAATACAAATCCGGGCATTTACGTTTGGGCAGCAATCTTACTGTAAATATGTTCATTTTATGTGCATTGTATTTTACTTCCTCTGTCATCATTTCAAAATGGGTTTTAGGCTGATGAGACAAGGCACAACAGGTTAAGGGTACATAAAACAACCCTCCTTAAACACAAAGAATTGGTGTATGCAGAGAAAAAAGCATGACACTGTATCAACAGAGAATCTCGCAACTCCTGATATAAAAAAATTACAGTATTTAAAAAAAAAGTCCTACATTAAAAATACATACATGAGACATATAACTGTGTATTAGTAGTGTCTTTTCTGAGATTCAACAGTATCTCCTGCATGGAGCTGTGCAGTTCCTTTGGGCATGTGGGACACTCAGTGTTAACAGCAGAGGAGTTAATTTGCAAGTACAGATAACTGGTGGAGTCTTTGTCTTTCTGCTGCATGTTTGTGTGTTTTCTTCACTCCATTATATAACATGCAGGTAGGTTGACTTGGTGTCCACTCCTATTACATTTTTGGCGGTGCATCTGTAAAATCCTGTATCCCTGCCTGTCGGGTTCTGTATCACCAAGGAACCCTGAGGACTAAGGTAGAGGTTGCCATACATACGAGCCTGACCCATCACTCTCAGCTGTGTCAGGTCTGGTGTTTCCCAGGTAAGCGTCGCCCGGGGTGTTGCTATGGTCAGGCACGGCAGCTCCACAGCAACCCCAGGGTGTGTGTAGGTCACTGGGGAGGGGCCGGTTGTTATGCGCGGGGGATAGGCAATGACGATAACAGGAACCGTGACGAGTGAAACTGTGGAGGAGTTGTGATCAGTGGATCTGCAAGTGTAAGTGCCGCGGTCAAACACAGATGCCTGTTGCACTGTTAGTGTTCCATCCTCTTGGACTAGGTGTCGGCCTGAGTCACCGCTCTCACCCCGAGACAGTACCTTGCCATTGGGCATGGTCCATGAAAGCGAGCCCTGGGTGTATCCATGGATTTGAGAACCAGGGCAAGGCAGGCTAAGGGTCTCTCCATTAATGATGCTTACCAGAGGAGCTGTTCTGGTGCTCACTGTTGGATCTGAGACAGGGCTTGTTAAGTGGGATGGAGGGCCAACTGGACGAGGTGCAGCAGGTAGAGACGGGCTTCTGTGTAGAGGCTTTTGAGTAACTAGGATTCTTGGATGAAGCGTCTCAGGCAACACTGGCCTTGAGCTTAAGGATTGAGCTGAATCCAATGCGGCTCCTGAGCGGGGCGTCTCAATTAAGCCAGCACTTCCTTGAACAGATCTTCCCACAGCCGGTCCCCAGTGTGGTGATCTGGACTCCTCCTGTGGCTCAAAGACCTCCAGCTTCACCTGTATCCTGTCTCACCTCTCTCACCTCTAACCACACATACCAAGGTCCCGCCATCACTCGCCCGCACACCTCGCAGCTCCAAGGAGCCATTTCGGTGCACAGTGAGTCGACTGCCGTAGTATGGAGCTGGAAACACACCGTTCCCAGGCAGGACCCAGGTCAGACGAGGGGGAGGGGAGCCTTGGGAGGGGCATGGCAAAAGAACAGTTTGGCCTTTCACGGCTTGCTGCTTCACAGTCGTTACCACACCCACAAATGTGTTAGTACCTGTATTATTAACTGTTCTACCACTACTACTTGAACCACCACTAATCCTGCTGTTATCATTGGTCACTCCTATATTGCTAGTCCTACGGAACCCATTTTCTCTGAGCGTGCCAGTAGCAGCTTCATTATTTGACACAGTTCTGCTAAAAACTCCAGCATTTCTAGTAGCACCACTTATCCCGCCATTGTCTCTACTGGTGTTGGCACCATTACGACCTTTTCCTGCGATGACTTCATTATTATTAGTCCCTGGATTCCTTTCTACATTATCTCCTCTAACTGTGCTGTGACTGTTACCCACACTATTACTACTACTCATAATGCCAGATACATTTCTGTTTATTCCAGTGTTATCTGCTCTAAGGCCTATATTTGTAGCCACGCTCCCCCCGACACCGATTACACTGCTACCATGCTGTGTTGCAATTCCACTGACAGGCCTGTTAAATCCATTTTGACTATCACTCCTAAGGGCAGGATTAAAGCCACTGGTTGCTATGTTAACGCCTGTGTTTGGTACAATGTTTCTTATCCTGCCATTATTATCACTGTAGCCATTATTGTTTCTGTTATTGCTGCCAAGCCTACTTGTGACTCCATTGGTAAATCCATACTGGCTTATCCCTGCATTATTCATCTTGCCCCCTAAACTGCTGCTATGACCACTGTCAGGCCCATTGTTAGTACTCCAAGCACTTCCTCCCACCTGGCCACTGAGTCCATGGTTAGGAGTCTCCACCTCCAGGCCCACCACCATGCTCCTCTCCCCGGCTGAGTTGCTTGCTCTGCATGTATAGTTTCCTGTGTCAATCTTTTGAACCAGACGCACCTCCAGAGTTCCATCTGAAATCATGACAACTCGCTCAGGATAAAAACCAGATCCCAAACTTTGTGGAATGGCATTGTGTGTCGGAGAAAACCATATCACTGTTGGAGCAGGATCTCCTGTGGCCTGGCAGCGAATTTTGGCGGTTGCCCCCTGACGTACTTTGATGATGTGGTAGCTTCTATCATCGATGAAGGTTGGTGGAGATGTCATCATGACCTTCACTTTGACCTTAAAGGATTGAATTTTAATGAAGGATTTAATTAACCACTGAATGAATTAGTACTTTTATTTATTTTATTTGTAATCTAAATAATTAAAGCATAATTAATTTATAGCACAATATAACAATATTTTGACTGAAAGTGTTCATGAAAATCTAAATGAATAAAATAAATGAATATCCTGAAGTCTTCTCCACAAAAAAAAATGTTTTTCTTACCTTCATGGTGTCTTGTCCTCCTTGATTCTCAGCATAACAAGTATACACTCCCTCCTGTCCCATACCCACTGCTGGAACCAGTAACGTCCCATTGTCAAACACAGTAAGCCTCCGTGCTCGCCCTCCTCTGACTTCTCCCTGTAACACACTGTTCACCATGGTTCCATCTGGTAAGCTCCAACGGACAGCTGGGTCAGGCAGTCCTGATGCCTGGCAGTCCACCTGCAGGGAACAGGATCATTATTGCGATCATTTAAACATTTTTGAGGCTTTTATTTTGATGAAAGCTGGACTTCTGAGAACAACAACACAATCTCTTTGTAAGGAGGAGTGATACATGCTGTACTGTATACCTAGGCTTATTTAAGGTTGTATTTAGGCCATTAAAAAATAAAACTCACAGGAGAAAACACTGCTAAGCAGCCACAGATTTAGATGCATTCAAAAAATACCATTTAAAGCTTGTTAATGTTCAAATGGAATTAAATATGAAGGGCAACAAATTCCCACAATAATACTGTGTCCTCTTTCTTGCATTTCACCCCATTTGACATTATTTTTCATTGAGCTGTTAAATATTCATGTGTGAAGTAACCCCCTGAAGGCCACTGCTGATTATTTATAATAGGCTATGTATGACCTGACAGGTCTTGCTTTTTTTTGTGTCAAAAACAACCAAAGACACAGCTTGAAGCTGTGGAAATTTTTGGCCCCACACACAGTGATAGAAGACACCCACATATCATTACATACAGAAAATAAGACCCTAAAAACTGGGTGTAGGAGATGGACTGTTTTTAGTGTTTTAGTTTTGGTGCAAGTTTCCAACAGTGGAACAGCAGCTAGTGAGTGTTGCAGTGTATATGATTTCCAGTAAAACAAATCTTGTGTTTGAATTAATTTTTTTATTTGAAATTAGGTAATGTAAATGTATTCATAAATTGCTTAATGATCTAAATTTAACAACCAAAATACCCAAGATTGACTGAAAAGACCATCCGGCATCATAATAATTGTACTACATTTACCCAATAATTGCGGTTTTATTATTAGGAGCTAGGCAGAGATGTTTAAATTGAATTATAATATATTCTTTTTCATTTTGCTCACCTTCAGTGGTTTGCCAAACATCACCATCTGATTGACTGGCTGTTTGGTTCGATCTTGGCAGGCTTGGTAGCCACAGAGACACGCAGGAGGCGGTAATCATCTGCGAATTTGTTGCGTGCGATACACAGGTAGTCTCCAGAATCCTTCTCTGTTACTGCCTGGACTGACAGAGTGCCGTTAGGATGCACCTTTAGACGTCGGTCAAAACTGAAATTCAAATGTAGATGAACATACACACATATCAGAAAAAGACAGATGTAGAATGAGACACAAGACTAACAGGATTAGTTAAAAATATTATTGTACAACCCACATCCCCTGTACCTGAAGTGCATGTCCACCAGTTTCTTGCTCGGGGTCCTCCAAATGATGATGGGTGATGGGTTGCCAGTTACAGAGCAATGGAGCTGCAAAATTTCCCCATAGTGGACAGTAGTGATAGACGGTGACATAGAGACAATTCGGGCTTTACTGTAGGGAGAGACAGGCATGGGTTGCAAAACAGCTGAGGCTCTGCCTTTGTCAGAGGGGTTAGAAGAAGTAACTCTTGTGTTGTTTACAATGCCGGGTGAGACTTTGGTGTTATTTGTAGGCACTGGCGAGGTTGGGGAGAGAGGGGAGGGTTTTGTTTTGGTGATTTTCGTCAAGTGTGTGGGGGAGACAGTGACTGTTTTGTTGATTTTAGGAGAGGAGTTAACTGAATGGGGTTGGTGAGGGTAAGAAGATGAGCGAGAAGAGTTTGGGGTGAGCAGCAAGGTCCTGGATCTATCTAGGGGCGATGGGGGGTGGGGTCTAGAGAAGTTTAATGGATTTGAGGGGTTGCTTGGGATGGACACACTTCTGTCTTTATGGAGTGAAGATGAAGGAGATGGTTTTTCAGTAGCAGCTGCTTTTGCCCCTTCATTTCTTACCCCACCCTGTGTTCTTTCTCCTTCTGCTCCCCCTTCAATTTCTACCCTCACTGTTCTCTTATCGGCTCCAACAGCATTACTTGCTGTGCACTCATAATTCCCTGAGTCCTTAGGCCCAACACTTCGAACATGCAGTGTCCCATTGGGCAAGACAAAAAGGTTGCCATGGAGAAACTGGGATGGCCGAACTAGAGTTCCATCAGGGATTCGCCAGCGCAGAGTTGGTGGTGGGGCACCTCGGGCAGAGCAGTGAGCGTAAACTGGCCTCCCTGGAGACAAGAGCAGGTGTTCATCCCTGGGTTGCAGTATCACTGGCGGCAACATGGACACGTGTAGACGTACAGAGGCACTGGCAGCACCTGCTGAGTTGGAGGCCACACAGCGATACACTCCTCTGTCACTAGGTAAAGTTGCTGAGATATGGAGGGTTCCATTTGTGTCCATAGTGATGCGATTGATGGAGGGTGCAGTGGAGGTCAGGACAGAGCGATCAGGTAGGACCCAAGAGAGCAAAGGGGTGGGAACACCATCCGCCTGGCAATCCAAGTGCACCTCTCCACCCTGATGAATGGTATTTTCTCTGTAGCTGGCCAGCTGCATCCGAGGGGGGCGGGTCCACACTTCCAGGGTGGTTAGCAATCTATCATGGATGAGTAAAGCACATACACTACTATACTCAATATAGAAACACATAAACATATTTAAAATGACAACAAACAAAAATGTCACATGACACATTTAGGAAACACCCAAAGGCATACATGCACAACGCAAACAGGAATCCTGATAGAAACATGAGCTCAAGAAAGATTCATGTTACACACATACTGGGTCACACATTTCAAAACACGTTTTTTTTAAACAGATTTCATATAGAGAGACTTCCATATGACTTTAGGCTACTTAAAAAATTAAATCAAGTAGGTCTGTAACTGTGTTTGCACCTGAAAAGCTGAAAATTAAATGGGTAAAATACCAGCACAACATACATAATACTGAGTAATTAAATTGCAGTTTGCCTTAGGCCTATGTGATTAATACTTAAAATATTGGGTCCCATGGCCATTTTTACTGAATGGTATACAGTGCATTAATATTCATAACTGGTGTCAGTAGTCTCACCTGTCACGACCCAGAAAGCTGTGTGCACTGCAGATGTATGTGCCCCTGTCCTGCAGCTGAACATTCTGGATAACAAGGGTGCCATTTGGCAAGATCTCAAAACGTTGAGCTCTGGAGTGGATTGACATCACCGCTCCTAAGAGAGAGAGAGAGAGAGAGAGTCAGCCAGACAAACAGCGAGAGCAGCAGTGAGGAAACAGATGGGGGAAAACAGAGACAAATTGGGAAAGAAATTTGGATTTGGAAATGAGGATCAGTGACGTACAGTGCAAAGTAAGTCAGTGATGCAGTGCACAAAATGTTCCATTACTTTTTTGAAATATGTCTTTGCCACATGGCAAGCAAAATAAAGGCCTATTGTGTGGATGCCAGTGTGTAATGGTGGGTGTTAATGGGTTATTTCACCAGTGTGTCCATGTTCATTCAGTTATAGTTACACACTAAAGTTGAAATTGATTTCCTTTCAAATCTGTGACTTCAGAATGTAAATACAAACCTTTACTTATTCTGTAGTCTGTAGTTTTAAACCATATAAATGACAGGTATATTCACATATATTATTGACTTCTAAATGAAAAATAAGCATTGATGTGATTCCCAACACAAATAAAAATATAGCCCTTTCAGAGCCTGTTTCAGAGAGTTGACGGGCCTCCAGGTGGATAATTAACATACATTTAACTTGAAGATAAATTCAAGTTTTGTTTCCAATGTGTGCATATGTGTTTATGTTAAATAAATGTTTGCATATCTGCTGCACTGTGTAGTGTGTACCTGTGGCAACCTTGGTCCATGTGATGGAGGGCTTGGGCTCGCCTTGTGCTTCACAAGCCAGCCTGGCAGTACTCTCTGCTGGGAATGACACTGTCCTGATGTGTGGGTCTGCGATCCTTGGTCTAGATCTCACTGTGGCCTATGAAACAGATTATAGTAGCAAAGAATGTAATGACTAATAGAATTAATGACTCTTAAAAAGTTAATATAGATTTAACTAGAAGATATCTGAGAGCATTTCTCTACTAATGAAAGTGCTTCAATTTTTCATTCATAAAAGGTTTGTAATTACTAGCATTTTAAAGCATTATTATCGAATAGATCACAAATTCAATATTCAGCGTTTAGAATCACTGGTGGTGGACCCATAGGTTTGGCAGAGCCTTGCCAACTAAGCTCTGAAAATTAATTAACAAATGATTATTTTAAATCCCTTGGGATTGAGATCTCAAAACATATATAGTTGTTGATCATGCAACATATGTTTTTCATCACTTCTTTAGATCTGGCAGAGCTCTGGAAAATCCATGAAAGTGAAGAATTGTCATAAACATCCTTTATTTTAATAGCAGGTCATGTGGATACAGATTAGACTATTTTCAGATCTATTGTGCATTCTGCATGGCTTTTGCCCAAGGGCTTGCACAGTCGGGTACAGTGTGTGTGTATGTGTGTGTGTGTGTGTGTGTGTGTGTGTGTGTGTGTGTGTGTGTGTGTGTGTGCGTGTGCGTGTGTGTGCGTGTGTGTGCGTGTGCGCGTGTGTGTGTGTGTTGTTACTTTCTGGGCCAGCACTCACTTAGGAAAGAAATGTTAATTTGAGTTTCACTTAGCTGCCAACAAAAAAAATAACTTTATATATACACTTAAAGAAATGACTAATTAAATGAAAGAAAAGCGCAGAAAAATAGGGAATCTTAAAATAAATTTGCTATTAAATGAACAAATAAAGAACAAATTGTGGCTCTACAGCAGCTTGTCTCTTACTCTTGTTGTAATGTACCGTGTGTGCTTTCTTTTAGACCCATTTGGGGTAAAAGTATCCACAAAATGGCAATATTATGTTGTTTGAATTGAATTTAAACTCACCCCAGGGGCAGCAGGAAGTGAAGCGGAGTGGTGCAAGTGTGGTCTGCTGTTATGGGAATCAGGAATAGAATTAGCTCCAGGGTTCCTCCAGTCAGTAGGGCGTCGAGTCTGGTTTGAATCCCCAGAAACAGGCCTCCGCCTCGGGTCAACTAGGCCAATGCTTGGCCTCTCTTTGGATGATGCTGTGGTACTTGTTGATGTCATTGTTGAGGTAGTAGTAGAAGGTGTACTTGGTGTAGCTGCCCTTGTAGTGGTTGGAGAAGTTTTGGCTGAGATGGTAATTCTAGTAGTAGTAGGATGGGTAGTTTTAGTAGTTGTCGCAGTAGTAGCAGTAGGAGTAATGGGGATAATTGTCACAGTGGTAGTAGTTGTAGGAATGATGGGGGTAGGAGTTGTGGGAAAGGCTTTGAATGAGATTGTTGTAGTAGTAGCACTGGAAGTAGTGGTAAAAGCAGTGGTAGAAGAGGTACTTGAAGAAGTAGTAGTGGGAGTAGTAGATGTAAGAATAGAAGTTGTGGTAGTAGTGGTAGAGGTAGGGGCAGTTGTAGTGCTTCTGGCAGTGCTAGATGTTGGAATAATACTGGTAGTTACAGTGATGGGATTTGTAGTCATAGGTGTAATTGTAGTTGTTATGGGAAGTGTCTCCTTACTAGCTGTAGTGGTAGATATACGTGTAGTGCTGGTAGAATGAGTGCGCTTGACAGTAGTTGAAGGAGTAACTTTTGCAGTAGTAGTGGCAGTTGCACTGGGGAATGTGGAGGAAGCAAAGAAGGAGGGAGTAAGTGAGAGAGAGGTGGAGGAGTGGGACACATATGGTCCACCTAACAAATTCCTCTCTGGCTCTTCACTGTGTTTGCTTGGGGGTGTATCAACATGTTTGCCTGAGGTTGTGTGTGTTTTTGTGTGTGTCTGTATGCTGTGTGTATGGGTCCTGGCATGTGTGTCTTGCACATGTGTCTGTGCAATCGCAGCATCCGAGTGAGTGGGTGCTGGTGTCGGTGTGTTGAAGAGAGTGGACTCTGCATTGTCTGGTATGTTTGCTGAGTGAGTCATCACGTCTATATGTGTATTTATGTGAGTGGGGGATAACAAGATGCGAGAGGAGGAAGAAGGAGTCATTGAGGGGGAGGCAGATTTTGAAATGGAGACACCAGGAGTGTTAGAAACAAGGGGAAACAGAGGATTCAGTGCTGCACTGTTTGGAGCAGTCCTAATATGGCCACTCTGTGTCAACAAAAAAGCTGCAGATGTGGTTGTTGATGCCAGCAAGAACATATTAATTTCATCTGTGCTAGTGTCAGGTGTCGCAGTCTGTGATCTTGGGTTCGAAGGGTCAGGGAGAGGTCGGGGTGGGGTCAAAGGTCTCCCCCTGGGCCTGTTGATGATTCGTCTACGCTGTCCAATCCTCCTGCGAGAGTTCCAAGGGTTTTGAGGCCGGGAGTTTGGAACCAAATTAGGAACGAGTCGGGGGCTCTGAGGCCTGGTTCTAGAAGTATTGGGGTTTGCATCCTGCTCATCTCCTTCATTTGGTTCTGGGACAATTTCATTTGTTCCTGAGATTGGTGGAAATGTCACTGATTCTTTCTGTGTCTCTGGGTTTGTCACTGTGTCTGTCAGTGGGCCTGCTTTCTCTGTCTGTATGTGTGTCTCTGTCTCGTTCTCTACATCTGTCTGTGTTTCTGTTGACCTCTCCGTCCCAGTCTTTATCTCTGTGTCTGTTTTAGTGTTTGTTTTTGTCTTTGTGTGTGTTTCCATTTCTGTGAGAACAGGGTGAAATGACTGTAGGCCTTCCTCTTGCAGATCAGCTTCATCAACAGCTGACCCTTCAATTTCTGCTTCCACCCCTGCTTCCGCAGCTCTACCTCTCTCTGTATCATCATCTTCATATCTTCTTGCGTCTCCGCCTTTGTCTCTTCCCACCGGTTCAGCTGTGGTCATTCCTGCTGTGACAGGCTGGCTGTTATTAGTTTGGGCAGTCTTTTGTCGTATCTTAGCCAGGAGGTCAGCCCATTTCTGAGGATCTATCTTTTGTTTGTTTGTTCTAACTCTATGTCTGTTCTCAAAGATATTTCTTCTCTGGTCAGTGGATGATACAGGCCCTTCTCCTCTTCTCAGGGGGCCTTCTCTCATAGGCCCCTGTTTTCGAGGTTTTCCAATTGGATAACGTCTGTTTGGAGGAGGTTGGAGAAGTCTTGGACGATTTCTATTGAAAATAAGAGATCTCTCTTCTTGTTCCTCTTCATCCCCCGATCCTTCCTCCAGTTGACGTAGTAATGGGGCCCGTATCTTGGTTGATCGGCCAGCGGCTGACTGTGGCCCTCGAGGAAATGAAGTCCTAAGTGGAGGGGGATATCGTGAGCTTAATTCCAGCTGCATGGACAGAGAGTCACTACCATACTGGTTGACTGCAATGCAGCGGTAATGACCAGCATCTCTCTGAGAAGGTTTAGGCAGAGAGAGACTCCCATTTGATTGTATAGTGAGCCCACCTGATACAGCTAATCCCCGCCGTACTATGTTTCCATCTGGTAACACCCAACTCATATGAGGCGCTGGTGAACCAGATGCATTGCAGAACAGACGGACAAGCTCCCCAACTGTTCCAGTGACACGGGGCCCCACTTGCTCTCCTGAAGGCGGAACAGAGGACTCCGCCACTGCCAGGCGAAGAGAAAGAACATCTACATCCCTGCCTGACCGGGCTATGCAATAGTAGATCCCGGCATCTGAGAGTTGCACTTTGTGCAGATGTAAACCAGAGGTTGAGGCTGAAAGCCTACTATCTAGGCTGCTGGAGGGGGTGTTGAGCTTGGACCCATCTGGGAGAATCCAATGTACTTTGGGGTTACCAGAACTTAGAAGAGGGCATGCTAGCTCCACCTTACTTCCGGCAACAGCGGCCAGTGCTGTGTTGGTATGATTAGTTGAAATCAGTACCCATGGGTGAGACGCAGGGGAGGATATTGAGGGATGAGAAGTAGGGTCAGGATGAGCAGAAACTCTTGTTGAGTATATAAGTTGAACTTTGTGTCCGTTAGACTGTGCTCTGTTTAGTTGAATGCTAACGGCTGGCTGCAGCAGCCATTGTGGTCTGGCTTTAACGGAAGCCTTGACTCCCGTGTGATAATATCCGTCTGTCTCTGATGCCTGCCTGAAACGGTAGGCCAATGCCGGGGTTTTACTCAGCATGATCTCCCTCTCCAGGCGAACCGCAGTCTCACTGTAGTAAGCTAGGATCCTCCAAAGTTTCTCATAGCTCTGTTGCTCCACAGGGCAATCCAAGGAGAGCGACAGAGCAAGGGGGAGAGGAGAAGAAGAGGAAAGGGAGAGATCAGGAGGAGCAATATCCGGGGACTCAGAATGAGTGATGTTGCAACTCAGATCAACACTGTTCCCCTGTTGGTCAGACAGACCCAGAGAAGCCGTGCCTAAAGGCTCTCTGAAGGATTCACTTGATTGGATTTCACTGAGTTCTGTCTCCAAAGGTGTGTCTCTTCCTGGGGAGGGGATGACTGGTGAGGTGCATGATAGGTCAGTCTGCTCAAGCAAGCCCTGCCCTTGAAGGGAATTGGGCGAAGCACAGATTGGACACTGAGGGCCCCTGGGACATTTCATTATGCCTAATTGAAAGAGGGATACGGAGAAAATTGTGTGATAAAAGGCAGCCTTATCATCTCTGGCTTATCAACTGTGTATAACATCATAGCAACTATACAAACATATTAGTGAACATTTCAGTTATCTGCACATATTAGTGGTGTCATATATTAGTCATGTCATCTCTTCTTAAGCATTCATTACCCTTTATATCTGTTACTAATTAGGTACGGAGACTTCATCTACACATAAATCAGAAATATGCATCACTTCATTATTATACAGCAATCATTAGCTTATACTTCAGCTGCCTGCACACATCAATGCTGTCATCATAGCTTAGTCATGGCAGGTTAAGTCTGGCATATCAATGAGACACATTTCACGCTCCAGCCCTCTTTCACATCTCAATAACAGCCACAAGACAGACTGGAAGAGATACAGAAAATGGGGGAAAACAGAGAAGAGTGTAGGATGAAAAGCAGGTGGAGAAATGTCAGCGGTATCAGGATAACAAAACCAGATGTATCCGAAAGTACATTCATCCTATCTTTCTATCATTTGGCTGGATTAGATTTATAGTTCTTAGGCTGTCTATCAATATATCAACAAATGAGTCCACTGTTTCTCAATCAATTCCCCATGTTCCTTCTCATCATACCTCCTTATCCATTTCTTTTCCTTGAGTCACTCAAGCAACCCACATGTTACATTAACCACAGCATTTTTGCATCACAGACTGACTTAATCTTGCACAAAGACATAACAAATGACCACCATAATACACATGTGCATGTGGGAGACAAACAACAAATCATATTTCAGACATGGCAGTCACCTGGATGAGCCAGACTCCAAGTGAGAAGCCAGTTCATCCTACAGTCGCAACTCCACGGATTAGCCTGCAGCACAAGAGTCTCCAGCAGAGGTGCTGTTGCTAAGGTCTCTCTAGGCAGAGTGGTTAGACTGTTGTTGGACATGTCTAGGTGTCTACAGGAGGGGAAATGGAGGAAAGAAATTACTGAGATAAAGAGGGGGAGGGAGAACACAGAGGTTGAATCAAAGTCATACAGGAATGGAGGAACGGATGAAAGAGTGGGAGTGGGCAGTGAGAGGTGACAGGTTAGGGGTAAGCAAACCATCCATCATTTTTATCATTTCCATTATCACCTTCATGTTCAGTCCAAAGTTATTCCTCTGCAGTAGTTACAAGTAGATCAGAAACGGTAAAGAGACAATTCTATAGCTTTAGTGACAGAGGAGTATTTGTCTAAATACCCCCAAAAAAAATGGAAGCATTACTTTTTTTGTATGGCTGCTGCTAATCACACATCGCATTGTTATCAGATCTGGTGGGTAGTTTCACCAGTTTAACTAAATTTTGCTTTTGCTTGGTCGTACATCAACTCAGTTTAATTGTCAAGATCACCCAGATTATTTTATTTAGGATGGATGTAATGCCCACTTTTTTGGTTAAAAAAACTACAAATTAAGTTCATTGTTGATTGGATTTGTGTCCAATGTAGGGATAACATATTTTACAGACAACAGAAAGCTAACATTCCTTTCTGTTCTCACTGTCAGAAGCACCAGCAGGGCAATAACTACTTACTGCTAAAGCTAAAGTTTCAAAATGTTGTAACTTCTCCAACAATGATCATTACATTTGTGTTAAAGCTCACCTGAGTGTAGAGAAGTAATATGTATTCAGGAGGGACAGTGTGCACAGAGTTTGAGGGTGTAGCTGATGTAGCCTGTTCCCTTGCAGACGCAGCAGCCTGAGGTTAGGCAGCTGAAGCAGGGCCCGGGGGTGGATGTGCTGGAGGAGGTTGTGATCCAAGTACAGACGCAGCAGTGAGGTCAGGCCAGAGAAGGTCAGAGATGAAGAGATCTCTCTCAGCTTGTTATAGCTCAGCTTTAGTATCTGTGGGGGTGGAGAAAATGGAGTGAGCAGAAGAAACGAAGGATTAGAAGAGCAATCAAATCACAGATAAGAAACCAAGTCAATGTTATGATCATACGTCTGTCACTGAACACCACCTGCTTGTAAATTGAATTTATGACAAATGATGTGAAGGGAATTGGAATGAGAATGAAGAGTTGGGTGAAAAAGCAGAAATGACTGCACGTGAATTCATAAAATATGAGGAAATCCTTCCAGCAGCTCACCATCTCACATGTAAAAATTGAGAAAATAGCCCACAGCACATACTCAGATGATATATTTATGCTGTGAGTTTATAGGGTAAAAGCAGGGAAAACTAATAGGATATTCTAATACTGGGGGTCTCCAACTTTTCAAATATGAAATTTAGCCCTTTATCCCCAGCAGAAGACTCTAGGGAAGCTATTCTAGACATGTGTGGAGAACCCACCAAACTTTAAGAAGGCAGACCATGAAGACCAGGTTGTGGAATTTTAGTTTCTGTGAAGCTTATGATAAATCTGCTCTCCGGGGAGGGTACTTAGCTGGAAGAGTTCCAGCTGCTGACAGATCTAGCACGTGAAGATGTCAGCACACGAAAATATGGATCATATTATCACACAATGACAAATATATCAGCATCTGCCTGGGAGATGAAGGGAACAATTGCTTGTTGAGTAATATCACTTCCCCATGGACTGCTAACTCTGCCCTTAGGTTGCTGCTAAAATGTCCAGCGTGTTCCCTGTCACTGAGCAGTGGAAAGAATGATAAATGATGCATTAGTTGTACAGAAATGTTATATCAACAGAATCATGTTCTGTATTAGTTTGCATACTGATTTCACAGATCAATTTTTAAATGTATTCTTTAATGAATCCATTCATTATTAACAGTATGGCTGCAAGATTTAGGCACATTTATCAATGTTGCATCTGCTCTAAATTGTTTCACACTATTTCAAGAAATGCTATATATCTTGAGAGACCCTACATTAATCATGTTGTTAAAAACTGAAATTTGACCTATTAAACAGTTTAAAAAATTTATTTCTCATAGTTACTGAGCTATGCAGACTGTAAACTACAATCACTACACATGTAGAACGTTTAAGAGCTGAGCTTTCAGCAATAATCACTTCTGAAATAGTGCAGGAGCCCCCTGTATGATCCTCCCTGCCTGAGGGAAGTACATTTTCTGTAGACTTGATCCAGGTTTGATCTGTGTCCTGCAAAAACCATCTTCAAAGAGTCAAAGGTTAAATATGTGAGGAAAGACAGGTTTATTGCCCGCAACAACCGTATGCTTTATAATCCAGCATCGATAGTTTGGTTTGGCAGAGTACAGTTCAGGTCACTTTAAATGTTGCCTGCCGATAGCTTCCTGAGAGATAGTCTACTTTAAATCCATTAAGAATAACTGTAAAACAAGAAGAAGCAGAGGCTTCTGTAAGATCATTTCCACCTCCTAAAAATGTTGTCTAAGCCTCACTTGTCATCTCTCCTACCCAAAAAACACTATTATAGTTTAGACTAGAATACCCTCTCTTTTTATTAATATATTTTAATATTGATGGTTCATTGCATGTTGTTGTTGCTCTTTTTCCTTTTTACCTGTAGCGATTTCATATCTCTGAACACTGAATCTGGGAGATGGTGGAGGTCATTGCTGTGGAGCATCAGAAGCTCCACCCTCTTCAGCCCAGCCAAAGAACTGTCATGGATCCTGCTGATGCTGTTGAACCTACGGGAGCACAAAAACAGCATCATCACCTCACATGTCAATGAGTCATCAAATAGTAGTATTTCCAAGTTAGCTCATTACTTAACTGTTTGACACCTGATTCCAAACTCTGTGTGAGTCTTTACAAGTTACAAGCCCTTTAGCTTAGAGTCTTACTTATGTATGTGCTTACATGCATTCTATTACCCTAAATTGATGCGCCGTGTGTGTGCAGGCAGGCCAGGAGGTATGGTGAGCAGGGAACGAAAGGTACAGTGGACTTCGCTGGCCTGGTAGCAGTTACAGCTTCTGGGGCAGGTCTGGCCCATGGGCACCACCAGTGTCAGAACCAGTAGAGTCAGCAGTGCCACCGGCACACACACTCCCCGACACATCTTCACTCAAGGAGAGGAGAAGCTGGACTGTGATTATCACTGAGAGGAAAAAGAACGTCAAGACTGATGGAGAGCAGCAAAGTGCACCACAGTGACATGTCCCAAAATCCAGATGGCAGTCTCTCTCTCTTTCTTTGTCTCTCACTAGCTCTTTCTCTTGTTCCCTTTCTCTCTCTTGCATACACACACGCACACTCACACACATACACACACCCACCTACACACACATCAAGTCAAGCCAATTTTATGCATACAGCCCCAAAAACACAAATTTGACTCAAGGGGATTTGCAATCTGCACAACACATGACAGTCTCTATCCTTAGACCCACACTGACACACTGCGACATTGCACCTGCTTCAAACAAAACAGACCTTTGGGCCATCTACACATGCGCGGGAGCGTGCCCAGTAGGTCAGCTGGATGACAGATAAATCATCAAATAAATCAAAGTTCATGTCAAAAAGCGCAGAAGGGATTCAAAAGGAATAATAAAGGGGTGGCTAAAAACTAGACCCCACAGAAAATCTCTCTCTCTCTCTCTCTTATCTAATCTCACACAAACACACTTAAACCATTCAAATTCATCAAGCCAGCTGGAGAGCAATAACTGCGAGAGGCTATTCAACTTGAAGCCGAAATTAAAGTAAATTACAGTCCACTGTATCACGCTTCCGAGATGAATAGATTATTGTAATGTAGTCACGGTTGATAAGTGCATACCTTGAAATCCTTGGGTCCGGAAGAGAGAGTTATTTCACGGAATTATTCATTGTGCCCATTAATTAATGCTGATTTTAATCCAACTGCGCGGTTCAGGAACCTTGATATGCAATTAAGCAGTTTAGTCACACATTAACCCCTAGGAGAAGGTCCCAAAGAAAGTTGTCACTTTAGATGTCACTGAAGAGAGCGAAGAAAAACGAGAAAAGTAGGAACACTTTGGTCAAATCCGCACAACAACGGCAACAAAATGCTTTCACTAAGATCCAACAGGTTTTCTTCTTGTGCGCCTCCTGAAAAGAAAAGTAGCGCTGGAAGCGGCAGGCGGGCTATTTGCAAACGCGTCTGGCGCTGTGTGAATGTGTGTGTGTGTGTGTGTGTGTGTCTGTGTTTGTGTGTGAGTGTGTATTTGAGCTTAGGAAAGGGGACTGGACTAGAGTGAACTTTGAGTGACGCTCAGGCAGAGGGGTTTGTCCAAGGAGGGGCTTTCTGGAAACACAGAGGTAACAAGTTCCTGCACTTCTGACTGCACAAATCCTTTTTCTGCATGTAGGCCACTGAGGTGCACATCCTCCTGATGTGCTGCAGCTCATTTTACACCATCTGCTCTCTATCTCATCTATTTTGTGTATTAGTGAGAAGGGTTATGGCTTTCAGCTAGATTTACCTCATCAGTGTACTTCAATGAATAGTACCCAGTGCTATCTTTTACTATTCTAATCTTTTAATTTTTTTTCTACTTCCATTTGATGGAAGCAAGAGCAGGGCTTAAGCAAAGATTTTTGGAAAAACTGAAGCTGAGTCTATTCCACCAGACTGCCATCCACCCCTACAGAATGTTTTGACCAGCCCTGAATAAAAAATCAAAATAAAAGTTATGATTTTATCTATAGTCTTTCTCATTTATTCACTCTCTTAACTCTTCCATTATTTTCTGTAAACTTTATGTCCCTACATTAACCACCAAAAACTGTTTCGGTGGCTTTTTTCCACACAGGCAGGATTACATTCTGGTGGAGAAATACTCATTTCCATTCCTTGATTGAATTGAATCTTGTTTAAAAATGTGTCTAAAAATATCACATTTATGTTACTCTCTTCAGGTCGTTAAAACCCCTAAATTACCATAAATAACTCAGATGCATATGGTCCTAAATTGCATAATGTTTTGGATTAACAAAATCCACCTATAGTACCAATGGTGCTGTTCCTTTTTATAAGGTTTGGACTAAGGACTGACTAATTTTGTACTGTTGTACTGTTGTACAAAATTGTATTGATATGGCTCCAGCTATCGCCATTCCATGTCCATTTGACCCCATTAAATTTAAGTGACAGTGGGACAATGAAGCCCAGACTGAACAAATACTGGATTTTGTGTTTTAGATTCATCCAATATGGGACAGTTCTCCTGAAATGTGGGTTAGGACAACTAAATAAGGGATTGTCCTCACTTTTCATGTGACCTCAGATTCTCAGGCACGCCATAAGGATCACACCTCCTTCTGAGAGACTTAAGTGAAGGGAGAACAAAAATAGACTGATGCTCCTCAGCTGTTGTCTGTCGTAAGCACAGTAACCCCCTCACCCACCATCCTTTAAGGGCCTGCCTTTGTGTGTGTGTGTTTAACAACAAAGCGGGTGAGTCAGTAGCCCCTTCCACATTACATTGGTTTATTTCTATAGACGTTTTTAACATTCACATTTGGTGTCATTGGCAGAATAATCTCAGCTTAAGTCTGTTCATACACGAGCTGACTGTCCCAGTAAAACTGAAACGTTTTTTTTCCTGCTCACAGTGGGGGGGCAGCAGTGCTAGAGAGCTGCAGCAGATGTGACAATAGGGTCATCACTGAAGAGCGTAGTTCTGAATTCTCACATCAGCTGCCTGAATAATGGATTGTAAAATTAATCTTGAATGACTGTTTATCCCCCCAGCTTGACAGTCGACAAGTGAGCATCCACAGATATCTTGGAAGATGTGATTTGATGCTTTACATTCACCGGCAAATTTCTCTCGGAAGATTTTCAACAGATGACCCAATCTCCACCCCCGAATAACCCTTGTCTCTGCAGGCGATGTTGGTCTGTGAGGGCTTAACGGCTCTCATGCTGCACAGACTCGCTGTAGCTGTGAAATGGCTGTGAAAAGCATTAGGCTCAATCCCAGCTCACTTCATTACAATACTCATCACTGTACTGGAATGTATTGGACCATAATAAATGAATCATTGTCTGACTGACTGACTGGAAGGAAGGAAAGAATGAAGACATAATGTAATATCAATGGCTCTTTGGGGGAGATGAATTATTGAATGAACGAACTGTGATGGAAGAAGTATTCAGATCCTCACCTTGTAAAAATATTCCACAACAAGAAGTCCTGCATTCAAAACCTTACTTATGTAAAAGTATGTCACTAAAACTATTAGCAGCAAAATTTACTACAAAGTATCATGGAGAAAAATTGTCCCTGCAGAGTTTAATTATACATGGTGTTTTTCAAGTAATATTACTGCTGCATTAATGTGTACGTTGCATTTTAAGTCAGATTAAAATCCCTTGGTCATTGCACAGAACAGTGACAACAAAATTGAGTGCAATCCTGACTGTGCATTCCGACAAACAAATATGATATACAAATAAATATACAAATAAATTATATGAAGATTGTAAATGACTAAGTCTGTAAAATAACAGAGATGAAACAACCCAGTAACATAAATTATTGTTAGCTAGTTAGCTATTTTAATGCTAAAGATATTTAAGGTTGAGCTCATTTTAACTACTGTATATACTGTTGGGTAGTTTAATCTAGGCAAGGCAAGGCAAGTTTATTTGTATTGCACATTTCAACAACAAGGTAATTCAAAGTGCTTTACATAAAACAAAAAGGCAACAGGGAAATATAAAAAAGTTTAAAAGCAACATAGGGAAATTACACATTAAAAAATAATAAAAGTTACAGTGCAATGTAGAATCAGGGTATACAGCACTGCATTATTTTCTTAAGATCATCATATGTTCAAAATTGTAATCTGAAAAGTAACTAGTAACTAAAGCTGTCCGACAAATGTAGTGGAGTAAAAAGCACACTTCTGAGATGTAGTGGAGTACAAGTATAAAGCTGTATAAAATGAAAAATATCTCGAAAAATATCTTTGAACTTAAGGAGTTGAGTAAATGTACTTAGTTAAGTTAAGTTAAAGTGAAAGCCATTACTGCATGTTGTTGACTTATCTTATGGACAGTGACTACCTAAATTAATTACTGAATGATGCAGTCAATCAGTGAATCAATGAGTGAATGGTGTACTTGCTGACTCACTGTCACTACACTTAGTCTCACTTACACCTGTGACTTCCTGTAAAACCTACAGTGCACAATAAGTAAAGTTACAGTCTGGCTCTCTATGCCAGCCAGTCTCTCCCACTGACATTTGAAAAAGTGCACTGGTCATCGGTGCTCTCTGTCTTTTTGTCTCTGGGGTTTGGTGCTATGTAGGTCAACTAAAGTACTGCTGATTCATGAATTCAGGAAGTAAACAGCTCAGTGCCAAGATAAGACCAGCTTGCTGATACATAATTTCAAATCACGTGGGTTATGAATTCTTTTTGATCTGGCTTTGATGTGAATAAAGCCTTTGAAAGTCCTGGCTAAAAATCTTTGCATTCCATAAACTTATGTTTGTCTCCCTGCTCTGGTCTCTGCATTATTTAACTTGACTGTAATGTGTATCTTTCTTTACTGTTTTGGCTCTTTTCTTTAATTACAGTACATTTTGCATCTGTTCTCATTATGTCAGTAAGCTGAGAGCGATAGAGGAGGGAAAGGACGAAAGGTACAAGGTGCTGAGGAACATGAAAATTTTGTCATCAATGTCTTACTTAGTTATTAATGTATCTTGGAGTTCACTTGGTGCACCTAACAATACTAAAAAAGAAAAAGAGGAAAGAAAAATAATCATTACAAATGTCCCCAAGCAAGGCCTCTCTGTCAAGGTCAATAGATGGATCAGAGAGGGCAGGAAGCCAAGAGCTATCCTTTGAAAAACCAACACCGTCAATTATGTTCTTCATGACTTCAGGGCACCAAGCAGGTTGAGGCTCTGAGCTCATAAATTGCTGGTTAAACGTAAGAACGGGGTGTCCAGTAGTTTCCTGTTAGTGTAAATGCAAGATGGGTATATCAAAATTGATTGCTGTAATTTGATGCATGACAAAGAAACTGGTTTAATGTGAGCTAACTCTTAGTGAAAGTGTGCTGTGTGAACTAGCTCTGTACATGGGAACATATGTTACAAATACATACAGAAACATAATGCCCCCTTTTGATGAAATAATGAGGAAAGATTTTCAATGAACATATGTGCCATGTCTCAAAATTTTCATACTAAATGTACAGCATTGCTTAAATTAATTAATTAATTAATTTAAAGCATGTTTATTGCACTGAAAGCACTTGGGTAAATTAGGGAAAGATCATGATGTTCAAATATTGAAAAAGTCAGCAGTGACTGGCAGCACAAAAACAGCATGTTTACTTTATTAACATTTAACCTGAAACCACAATCTGTCCATGCACACTGTATATTACTAGGCAATCATTATGCTCCGTTTTAAATATTGATTATATTGCATAAATTAACTCGTCACATCCTGTTAAGATTCATGATTTCAGCTAAACATCCTGAAGTTTGACTTTGAAGAAGTGGTGCTCTCTCAGAGCCTGAGGGCGCACTGGGGAAACCGGACCAGGACCTTGTGGTCTATTATTGATTCAAGTCTCTTACACGCCATGGGATCATTGCTTGTCTGGGCCAACTGAGAGCGTGGAGCTTAGAAGTCGAGTAGGGATCATGGCAGGGATTCACTGGGCTCATGGTCGGATGTTACAAGGACCTTTTTTTTTAACAATTTGCTGGCTTTATTCTCTTTTGGACACTAAGTTGTTTTAGATGGCTAGCCGGGGGAGGGCTATGTGGCCACAGCCCCATTGTAGCAATTATGCTAAATAAACAGAACCTTCCTTTTGCTCTCACATTGGCGCTATTTTTGAAATCAAGATGATAAAATCAATATTTACATCATTAAAGCACAAGGCCATATACAGTACATATATTTGAGTACAAAATTACCAGTAGATCAGAAGTGACCATTCACAGATTTCAGTTCATTGGTGAACAATGAGATTTTTTTATAGATACTACTGAAAAATATGTAATGTATGTGGCGCGGTGGTGCAGTGGTTTGCACTGTCGCCTCACAGCAAGAAGGTCATGGGTTTGCATGTTGTCCGCGTGGGTTCTCTCCGGCTGTTCCGGTTTCCTCCCACCATCCAAAGTCATGCAGGCTAGATTAATTGGTGTCTCCAAAATTGTCCTTAGGTGTGGATGTGAGTGTGAGTGGTTGTCTGTCTAT